TTGTACTTAGAGATCTCAGTCATCAAAAAAACTGAAAAACTAGATGAACCCTTTAGAGACACCTTCAATGTCTTTGTAGGTGGCTCAGGAGACCCACCTACAATGGCCTAACTTGCTTCTCTTAGCTTCATTAAAATAAGGCATACACCTCAGATGTTGAGTTTTTAAAATGCTTTATGGGTGTCCTTTCCTCACTAACAATCATTTCTTTCATAAAAAAATCAAAAAGAACAACAACAAAAGCATGCTTTGTTAAAATAAGTCATCTTATTAGCTGAATTCCAACAGATCCTTCAAGAATTAACAAGGCGCAGGCAAAAGAGTTAAAAAGTCCCACATTCTACCCTGGATGTCTTGGAGAAGTCTTTCCCTTCTCATCTCCTTTCCTAGGGCCAACATGAAAAAGACCATCCTCATGTCAACTTCCTCAGCTGTCAAAGTAGCTGATCTCCATTCCAATATAACTCATACCTGACTTGAGCCATGGGACCCAGTGTCAGTACCGAGTGTGATTTGCTAAATATCGCTGTAAGCCAGTAAAAAATTTAAAGTTCCTGTTAAAAATAAGTCACCCCTTTAGTGACATAGTCTGAAATATTATTTTTTGCTTTTCTCATAGGTATTCTTATACAGCCTAAAAAGGGAATATCAATGACTTTAATATGTCTGATGGTATGGACAGCTATTTTGAAGATAAGAACAGGCATTATGGCAGCCAGTGTTGATTTCCTATTATCTTGTTTTGAAGTCTTGCATCATTTTCACTGTTTGGGATTCTTGCTTCATTTTCAATGGATTGTTTTGACTGGATTTATTCTGTTTTATCTGTTAAAAATAAAAAATTTTTAAAAATGGGGGTTATCAGGCAGCCAGTGAAGAGCACCAGCCATGGCTCTGCACTATCCCATGACTGCGGGCCTTCACACTGGCCGCAAGGTGGAAAGTATGAGGTATAGCTGCCATTTACCAAGGTATAGCTGCTGCTGCTGGTGCCTCACCAAGCACATGAAGCCTCTGGGGACGTGATCTGGGAGGTGTGAGCTGCTCAAGGCCTCCAAGGACAGGCGGTCCCTCCGGTTTGTCAAGAAATTGGGGATGCACATCCATGCCAAGAGGAAATGCAAGGAGCTGAGCAGCATGCTGGCTGCCATGGGGAAAGCAGCCGCAAGCACTGAGCCCCTCTCCTCTGTGCAGAGTGAAACTTTTCAGGAAAAAAAACCCCAGCAACAAAAAACATGTAAAATCGAATTTATTTTTAATATGGGCTCAATATAAATATAGAAAGTCTTATAAGCAAACATCCTGCTGAGATGGAAGCCTACTTTCCCTTGTCAAATACCTCAGGACTTCCCTGGTAGATATCTTCTTCTCCAGGAAAGGATTGAAACAAACTACAAAATTGTTACAAAACCCGCTTTAACTCATAAAATAGCTCAACAGATGACAAATAGCTTACCAGATGACAAAATGGCCTAGACATTTTACACTTTATGGTCCATGACATAATTTGCTTTCCCCAACAATATCACTGAAGCCTACTACAGGCACTACGAGAGCCCCTTCTAACTCAGTACAAAGTCCCAAGGCCCATTGTTAGACCTAACAGTGACAGATATCAGGATAGATACTTCTAGGCGTGGGATGACTATGTGTATTTGACTCCCATTGCAAGATGCCTTAGTCAAAAGGTCTCCTTATATTAAGAACACAAAAATCACTTTTACTCACCTTGGACCAATGTCATTAAGTATATGAGACAAAATCCATATGATCATTATACACACCCAATAACAATGCAGGTAAAATTAGATAGTGTACCCTCAGTGGCATCTTTTCATTAACGCTAGGACAGATGGGGAGATGCTCTTTAAAAAAACACCCAGTTAAAAAACAGATGAGTTGGGGCTGGAGATTTAGCTCAGCGGCATAAATGCCTGCCTTGCAAGCAGGCAGTCGTGAGTTCGATCCCTGGTACCGATAAAAAGGAAAAAGACAAAAAAAATAAATTTAAAAAAAAAACAAAAAAAAAAAACAGATGAGTTAAAAATATTGACTTACCCCTCTCCCACACCAGTGATCTCAAAATGTATTTCACCAGTATGATCATTTGGATATCTTTGTTCCTTCCCTGGGACTAAAAGCTGTCATGCACCATATAGAGATACTAACTATACCCAAAGGGCCACAAAGGACACCATAATAGTGCAGTTAGTGAGACAGGGCCCTACAAAACTGGAAGGTCCTAGACATTTTAAGGAAAACACAAGGCTAAATTTGTATTTTGACTCTTTGTCTAATCTCTCTATGGGTCTCCATCACCTCCAACAAGTTAATGCTATGTTCAATCCAAAAGCCGCGTCTATATCCTCTATATATAAGGTCCTTAGTGGCTCTGACTGATAAAAGTTCTTGTTGACAATAATGGTGATTGTTATCTCAATCTTATTTGGATCCTGTGTCCTGACCTGCCTGCATGGTTTTGTTTCCTCTAGGTTTTCAGGTATCCACCTGCTTTCCACCACGCCCAATGCCTGTGGAGGGCCTCTAGATAGGCCCCTGAGAGCATCTCTGACTGCCATTCAAAACAGCAGTCCCTTTCAACAACAACAACAACAACAACAACATCCTACAGTGTCTTCACTCATTTCCCCCAACAGCAGTCGGAGATATCTCTTCAGAGGTTGAAATATTACAGAGAGTTAAGATATAACACAGATAGTTAAATTAGATAGAAGTTAATAGGCAGTTAAAAAGAAGAAGACCAGACCTAAGACAGAATCAAAACAGAGATGAGATAAACTAGGCCCATAGTTAAGGGCTGAATTGATGGAAACTAGGTCCCAAGATTGAGACACAATGGCTATGGCCTGCAAGCCTCCTCAGAGATAAGTAACAGCTTAAAGGTACAGTGTAACTAGTACCATTTGGGCCAATAAGCCTAAGCAATATAACAAACACATAAAAACAACATAATAAACATGTAGATAGGTGAGCAGAACACTCTGGTCCTCACTCTCATCCCTTCCAGAAATGCTTTGCTCCTCTATGTGCTAGGTACCCTTGCTACATACCTTGTATTCCTTTTTCTTGTCTTTTTTTTTTTTTTTTTTTTTTTGAGACAGAGTCTTATTATGTAGTTTAGGCTGGCCTTGAACCCACTATGTAACCCAGGCTGGCCTCAAACTCTAGACAATCCTCCTGCTTCACCCTCTCAAGTGCTGGGAATATAGGTATTCACTGTACTTTGTTTTCCTATAAATCAGCATTAGTTAAGTAACTGTAGTTGTAATCTTATAGGTTGAAGGTTAACCCAAGATAAACTATGCTGTGATTTTACAACTTAAAAACTCCCTAGGCAAAGAACCTTAGCAGCAACCCACTTTTGGGTCCCATCTTGCCTCTCAGGGCCTTTCTCTTAATAAAACTTTATCCTCTTAACCTCCTTTGTCATCAACTCCATTCTTTTGCATCTTGAGACACAAGCTTGACACATCTAACAGGTTCAGAGTTACTTCTCTACAACAAAACAACATGTGAAAAAAGACCACAATAGTACTATTTGTAAGAGGCCCAAACTGGAAACAATCTAGGTCCATCAGTAGAAGGAGAAAATATGTACTAGCACGAGTAATGAAAGCGATTTACTTCTAGCTAATAAAATTTGCAATTATAATGTAGAGAAACAGGGGCCAGACTCAAAAGAATATCTCCTGTACCGTACTATTTCCATTATATGAAGTTCAAAAAGAGACAAAACTTGTGGTGGGAATGGTGACTAGAAATGGATTAGAAGTTTCTGGGGTCCTGGAGATATTGTGTTTCTGGAGTTAGGCACTGTTTATATGGTGAAATTTACTGAGGTGCACATTTAAAGTTTGTTACATGCACTTTATAGTTTATACAAAGAAAAAAATGGGCTCTTCCCAGCCATACACTATATTTTTGTCATTTGACCCATGGAATACTTCCGCCCAAAATAAACAACATTTCTTATTGGGACAGTTGTATTAGCTATCCTCATCTTTTCCTCATTCGCATTACTAAGAACTTATTTTCAAAGTCCTAGTGGACACGAAGAACATCTCCTCTTCCCTGGACATTCTTAACATTTCCTTAGCTAAACCACATTTGCTCTAAAAGCAACAGAGTTTGCATTAATCTAATTCTGCCTCTATCATGTAGTACCTCATATTATCAATTACAAAGACATATGAGCTCCTTGCTTTTAACTAACTAAATAATTGTAACTATCTAAAATATTGTCCAGAATAATAAAACATTTTGCCCTAAGAATATTGTGTCTCCATCTCTTGACAAATAAAAATGAATTACAGATTTAAGAGGGTGATGAATTTGTTTTTGTTTCTATTTATTACAGTTTCATATGACTTCATGTTTAAAATATTATTAGAATTTTACAGACTATGTGTATGATATTTTTATGGTAGCATTACTTGTAAAAGTAGGGAAACATCTTAGACATTTACTAACAAGCAGAATGGTTAAGTTAATCATGGTGTAGTTGCACAGCAAACACATAAAAGCAAATGTCTATTAGTATAGAGACTTTCTTTTCATATGACAAAAGGTGTCAGATGTACCATATTCTATCAACCATAGTGTTTTTTACAGCTAATTGATACTAACAGTTTCGCTTCTGTGGAAGGCAGCTTCAGGACTAGGGTCATGGAATGCTAGAGACTTCATTGTTCATCCTTATACATTTGCCTGAATTATTATTTACTGTACCCAGGAATAAATTTAAATAACGATAAAATCCTCATGTGTGAATTTTTCTCCAGTTACTCTCTTCAATGGGGGCCCACCATGGGGGAACCTTTGGGTAATGTTTGGAGTATATTGACTTACTTTCACATTGTAAAGCATCATGTCTCTGTCTATTAGAGCTGAGCATTGTACACACACATACACACAGGTACACAAACACTCACATCTGGCATTCACACAAAGGAAGACTTTGATTTCTAGTCATGCCTTATTCACCTGCGTGGATTTCCAGTTGCACAGGATCACTTGGTGCTGAGAGCCCTGTCTGGCACGTGTATTCACCACTGTCACTGAAACTTGCCGCAGTGATATTGTGTCTGGCAGTTGAGATCTGAATGGTTGTTCCATTGAGGAGCCACTGCACGGAGCTGTGCCCAGGGAACTGGGGTCCCTCACATCTCAGGGCTACATTTTCTTCTCGGAACATATTGATATATGGAGGCTGCAAGATGATCACTGCCTTTGTGAAGTCTGCTTGTGTATAAAACAGAAATAAAAACAAGAAACAAATAATCAACAAGTGGAGTGAAAGGAAGGCTCTGAGTGATTAGTAAAGTTTCATGGAAAACACAAGGAAAAATGCATTTTTATATTAATTTGAAAAGATAGACAAATTAGAATTTACATCTTTAAGAGCATGTAAGCCCCACTTCAGGAAGCTTTGTTTATGCTATCAAATCTTAATATCAGGGTTGAGACTATTGGGTTCTTAAGGAGGAACATTGGGTTGCTGACATGGTTCTCCCTGTTGGTAAGGTAGAAGCAGCATTTAAGATAGGACAACTGACTGGGCCAGTTTCCTTGTCCTTGATGCTGTGTTATCTCTAAGGGTAAAACATAGACCCTCAGAGGCTTTTGCATTAGAAATGCCTGGCTTTGAAGATATCACTATGTGGTCCTGGCTCTCTCTGCAAAGAATAAACCAGCTTGGCTCTCCTACAGAGGGGACTAGTCTAGCTAGGGTGTGTTGGAAAACCCAGCAGAACAACTTCTGCATTTCTGCAGTTGTGGCTCATCCCTGTTGTTGTATATACAGAGTTGAGCAGTCAGGAGTCATTCAGAAAACCTCAAATAACAAGAAAACTTAAAAAATCAGGATTCTGTAAAAAATCAGACTCTGAATGTGGGAGGATTTTACATAATTTACAAGTCTTTCTCATATCTACCCTTTCCCTAAACCCTCTTCTTTAGGTCAATGATGCTTATTTTCTTTGGGAGTATAAAGGTGGTATAAGTAAAGTTGGGCTGGAGGCCACTCACCCACTTGCCCACCAACTGGAACTGCAAGAGACCAGAGAATAGAAACATCAGTTTGTTAGTAGGAAATGATAAAAGGCAAGTTGGGAATAGAAATCGATGTAGACTCAGAAGGATACCTTAGGTCTCTTGAGATTCTCTATCCCTCTTTCTCAAAAGCAAGTATCAGCTGAACTGATGGGCATTGATTTACTTTTTTCCCTAGGGAAAAGCCCAGGGACTGGCACAATCCAAACAAGTGCTTTACCACCATAGCTGCACCCTACCCACAATTAGGATGTTAATATGAGATTTTCAGATGTGATGCTAACTCTGGATTCCCCTTTACATTCTTTTAATGTAGTAAGCACCAAAAAAAAAAAAAAACAAAAACAAAAACAAAAAAACCATCAAAGCCCAGATACAGTTGCCTCCATGCTCATGATTTCTATTATAATATATCAAAGGAAAACAAAATCTTAATTCCTCATTGGTGAAGCTTGTCTCCTTCTAACCACTTCCCTGAGTTCAACTTACTCCAAAGGAGAAGAGCTGGCAAAAGCCACATCTTCCCGCCAAGCTGGTGAGAGCCGTAAAACCTGTAGTGTGAAAGAGGTTCTGATGAGGCCCAGGGCAATGACTAGAAAAGAGGAAGGAAGTTGCTTCTTTTGACCACATTCATCATGTGTCTTTCCTGGGAAATATGCCCCTAATTTTCAAAGCATGTTTTTCCTGTTCTCATATTCCCTTGGTGCACCACTCTCTGTGTGAAGCTCTGGTTTTTAGGTTATGACTTTTCAAAGTCCAGAGGGATGGACTAAATTTTTATGACATTCTATTCTGATTATATTTCCCCTTTATTTGGTCTGCTTCTTAGGGCCAGAATATGGCAAAAATTCCACTTTTACAATTGATTCAAAATCTGGTCAATGCTTGATAATCTGAACCCTGAAAACTCTAATTCAGCCTCTCTGAAGCTTCTGAAGAGTTACAGAACTTGAGAGCTTCCCAGCAAAAACCAGCCTGTGTTCCTCTGAGGAATACAGGTATACATAAAGTATAAGTACATACATACATAAATGATAAAACGCCATCTTCCTGAAAGACATTATGAACTTGTAGAACTTTCTTAGGCTAAATGCAAAGAAATTAAATGTTTAATGTATATGCTACTGTAGTGAAGAAAAATTACTCATATCACCTATGAGCGGATGTGGGTTTCAGACTACAGGAGGAAAGTCTCCTATCACCAATGCCAATGTGTTCCTGAGGCATAGTTTTAAAGATATAAAGAAGCTTTTAGGTATTCTGTTAAGAGATCTAAACAGAAACTAGGATGAACTCAGGAACCCTAAGGACCTTTGGTAGCAAGTTCCCTGGCAGAGAGTGAACACTGATAAGTAAAATTGTAGCACTACTTACTAGCTCTAATTGCTTTGAATGTACACTGACCACATGATATCTTTAGAAGCAAAGGGTAATTAACTCTTTCAGGAATCATCCATGTGATGTTTACTGGCTAGTAAAACGTGAATGGAAACACCACTGTGCTAATTTTGAATTGAGAACTAGTTGTAGAAAGCTCCTCTTATTATCTCTTACTCTTTTGCACTTTTAAGATTATAATGATAACATTCAAACTGTCAACCATCATAGCCTGAAGCACAGCTGACTCAGCTGCCCTGGAAACTGGTGAAAAATATTTGTATGCTGTGTTGGTTACTTTTCTCTCATCACTGATACAAAATACCCAATGCCTAAAATTAAGAAATGAAGGTTTATTTAGCTCACAATTTGTGGAGGTTTTAGTCCCATAATCTGCTGCGTCTAAGGCGGGGTGATGTGGCAGAAAAGCAACAGTTCTGGGAGATGGAAGACAGCAAAAAACAAGAAGAGCAAAAAGGAGGAGTGCTAGAGAAGACTCTTTCTGTCTCTTATATTGTATGTAAGCTACATACCATAGAGTGGATGCAGCACTCACATCCATAATCCCAGCACTAGACAATGAATTAATCATAAACTAGATTCAGCTGCCTCTAAAATCTTGCCTCCATGACTGCATGAGGCTTTGGGCGGACATCTAAACACAAACCATAACATATGCCACTGAGATTATAAGGTTTTTATACAGCAATAGGTACCCAGTACAAGTAGAAAGCAAGGAAGCTCTGGAAAGAATTGAAGATGTGCTAGAGAGATGCCTCAGCTCCCTGAAATTTACACTCAAAGATGATATTTATAACTCCTACTATTTTCTCAGTATAGTTTTCCACTTTATGGAGGTACCTTAATTTATTTCATTAAACCTCTTCTTCTGGTTGTTTCTGATTCTTTACTGTTATGACCAGCACTGCGATACCTTTAAACATTCAACTTACTCTTTCCTTAGGGCTCATTGCTAGAATTGATAGAGTTGACTAAACACATGTACACATGTTTTTTCACTTTGGATACTGTTGGCATTGTCCACCATTATCCTCACCACTGCATGTATATGTAGGGAGCTTAATATATGCTGAAGTTGTGATTCATATTCATTTTGCATTTAATTGTTATAATAACCTTTGAGTAGACATCATTGTTATCTCCATTTTACAAATGATAAAACTAAGTAAAGAGGCATTTAGTCATTTGCCCAGGTTTATAAAAAGTAGAAGCCAGATTCAAAGCCAGGTATCTGGTTTCATAAGCTGACCAACAGAGTATAGCAGTGCCCACTTCATCCTTTGAAATTCTAGCTGCTGATTTGAAAATAAAGTAAAAGCAATTAATTTATCAGGATGAGATGGGAGAATGAGTATTGTTGGGGAAGAGGAATATAAGATTTATGACCTAGAAGGATGAAATGGTTTTTTTTTAAGTGATTTTCTGTAGCCTCCAAACGTTAAGATAATAGTTAATGATACAATTTGAATTGTGGAAAAAAAGAACTAGGACTTTGGGGGCAAATGCAGCTAATGTAGACACAGTAGTGTTCAGCATTAAATGGCCAGTAAAAATCAGGATGCTCACAAGAATCGTGAAGAGAATTTATACATAATGACAATCTTTAAAGTAGATTCACAATCATATTTTTCTCAAGTGTTTTGACAAATATTGTTCTTTTTCTACCACAGAAAATGATTTATTAACAATCATTTGATATGCTTTAAAATTAGATTTTATTGATACATTTTAGATATACATAATAATTACCTTCATCATATAGAATTTGTAACTGTACATGATATTGCTTGTTTCTCCCCATTCCCCTACCCTCCTTTCAACCTCTGTTTCTCTCATTTACAAAACTTTGTTTTCATCTCTAAATTTTTTTTGCTTTTCTCTTCTTCTTCCTTTCCCCTTCCCCTCACCCTTGTTTGCTTTCACATTTGAATATTTCCTCCTATTTTGCAATACCTACTGTACATTTGGGTCCTTATTTACACTTTTAGTTGCTCAAATCAGAAAAATAATTCAGTACTTACACATTATCAGACATCATATGTCTGATTTATTTCACTTAAAAGAATGGACTCAAGTTGCATCCATTTACCTATGAAAGTTTCCAGTTTATCCCTTTTATGGCTGATGAGTGCTCCATTGTATAAAAATGCCATATCTTTTTCAACCGTTCCTCAGTCGATGGGCACTTGGGTTGTTTCTAAGATTGGGCCATTACAAATGTTACAGCTATAAATGTAATTATTCACATATTGCTGTAGTAAGACGCTTTTAATTCCTTTGGGAAGATACCCAGGAGGGGAATGGTTGGATCAAATGGAGTCTTGAGTCCTAGTTTTTTGAGAAATCTCCACTCTGATTTCTACAGTGGTTGCACCACTCTACACTCCCACCAATGACAGAGAAGAGCTTCTTTTCCACCACAGCCTCACCAGCATTTGTTATTGGCTAGTTTCTTGATAATAGGCACTTTTTTTCTGGGATGAGGTGAAATCTCAGTGTTTTAATTTGCATCTCTCAAATGACCAGTGATGTTCAACATTTTGTCATATATTTATTGTCTGTGTGTATCTTCATCTGAGAACTATGTATTCAAATGCCCATTTTTGGATTGAGGCTTTAAGCTTGGAAGGTCTAACATTTTTGAGTTCTTCATATGCTCTTGATATTAATCCATTGAGGAACAGCTGGAATACATATTTTTAAACTCTGGGTTGTTTCTTAGTTCGACTGTTGGTTTCTCTTGCTGTGGAAAAGCTCAATAAGATGAGATCCCAGTTGTTGTTTATTTGTGATAGTTTTCTGAGATTGAGATTTTATTCATAAAGTCTTTGCTTACACCAATATCTTCAAGAGTTTTACCTTTCCTTTCTCCCAGAAAATTTGTTGTTTCTGTTTGAATATTTAGATCTTTCATCCATTTTGAATTTATTTGAGTGTATGTGAAAGATATGGTTCCAATTTTAATCTTCAGCATCTGCAAAATCAGTTTTCCCTGCATATTTATTAAAGAGGCCATCTTTCAGTGAATGTGTTTGGGACTTTTGTCAAAGACAAGGTGGCTGAGGATGTCTGGAGTTCTTTCTGCATTTTTAAAACTGTTCCACTGATCCTTGGGTCTGTGTGTGCTGTTTTTATCACTGTATAATTTCAAAATGGGGATTGTCATACCCCTCCCTTGCTTTTGTTGCTCAGAATTGCCTTTGCTATTCTAGGCTGCTTCTGGTTCCAAATGAATTTTAGGTTTTCTCTAATTTTATGAGATATGTTGTTGGAATTTTGATTGGAATTACATTGACTCTGTAAAACGGTTTTGGAAGTGTGGCCACTTTCCTATAAAGGTTCTTGCCATCCAAGATCAAGGGATATCTTTCCATTTCCTGATATCATCTTCTATCTCTTCTCAGATTACTGCAGATTTCAATGTAGTGGTCTTTTACTTCTTTTTAGATTGGTTCCTAGGTATTTCATTTTTTGGATTGCTATTATGAAAAATATTGTTTCCTAATTTCTTTCTCAGTGAGTTTGTTATTTGGTATAGGAATGCTACTCATTTTTGAGTGTTGATCTTATATCCAGCTACACTACTGAATTTACTTATTAAAATCGAGCAGTCTTTTGGTGGGGTTTTTGAGGTCTTCTATGTAGAGTAACATGCCATCTTCAAACAATGATGATTTCGCTTCTTCCTTTCCTATTATTATTCCTCTTATTTCTTTCTCTTCTCTAGTTGATCTGGCTCAACTTCCATGACTATGTTGAATAAGAGTGGAGACAGTGGACATCTTTGTCTTGGTCCTGATTTTAAAATGAAACCTTTCTGTTTTTGTCCATTTAGTGTAAAGTTGGCTGTTGGCTTGTAACAGATGGCTTTTAACAGATAAAGACCATCTATTCCAATTTTCTGTGGGATTTTTATCATGAATGAGTGCTGAAGTTTGTTAAAAGCTGTTTCTGCATCTATTGAGATAATTATAGGACTTTTGTCTTTGGTTCTGTTAATAAAGTGTATTACATTGATTGATTTATATGTGTTCAACTGTCGTTGGATCCTTTGGGGTGAATTCAATTTGGTCATGATGTGTAAGCTTCTTAGATTACAAGCTGCATTCTGTTTGCCAGTAT